CTTTCTATTGAAATTTTTACTATGAATAGCTCCCTGAACAAGAACATAATGTAAGACAGTATTATGGTAAATCCATTATATGGTAAATCATTTATAGTTTCCTCTTTGGCAAGACACAGGCGACTTTAGTTTTTGAAAATGATAGATACCTTTTGATGATCTACGAATAACTTTAAAATAAGGTATACACGAATACAACAGCACGCGTCTAGATCTTGGGCATATCAAATCATGGTGCGAGTTTACAATCGGTCAATTCTAATTTCAGATTTCTTTGGTGAGGCGAAACGGGGCGGAAGCAATAAACATCGTGCAAATGTGATGTCAATAATAATATGTCACCCCTTGCCATCAGCTTTGTACATGTTTTCTTATCGAATCGTTTTCTACTGCGTGTTCACAATCTTTTATCAAACACGAAGCATCTCTTGAAAACTTGGAGAGAAACGTTGCTGCAACATTCATCCGTCGAGCCCGCTGAACACGGCAGCAACGCAAACCAAGCACTGATCGAGGTACAAACGACAACTGCGCGTAGAATACCAAACAGTTGTTGCGATCTTTTCTCCGTTACTTCCTAACCAGATCGAACAGGTTTTCGCTCCTCCATCTCACCACCCCAACTAGAAGAGACCAGCCGGAAACTCCATGACGTGAATATGTATAAATCAACCGATGCCAAGAACCCCTGGTCCGGGGCTAAGGGCAGCCTTTCAATTTTAAGAAAACACACAAACAAGCAGACGGATAAAGACGTTTCGAGAGAATACTCTTTCTCAACTGACAAAACCCGAGAAGCAGAGCAAAGAAAAACATGTGGGTGGCGAAAAAAACCTCCAAAAAACTAATAAATTAATTGCAAAAAAAAAAAAAGGAAGGGAGAGCAAATAGGCCTATAGTCAAGACCGCTCAAGAGTGCACCTGGGAGTTGGACGATTCAAATTAGAGGGGAAGGAAACGTGTGCTTGGCGGCAAAACGGCGAGGTTAGGAAAATCGGTTGTGGTGCAAGCCTGCGGGCGTTTGGGGGTGACAGTCACCAAAAACTGTCCTCCGCGAAAAACACTAAACGCTTCGTTACACCTGCGTGCGCTGTGGACGATGTTTCCATGCACGGAGGATACAGACACAAATGTCCCCATCTTCCCAGTTCGCAGGACCAGCTTGGCCCAGCAGGGTCACTCGGAATTTAGTTTCTTTTTACTTGTTTTAACCTCGTACTCCAGAGAGTTTTTGCAGCAGTTTTTTCTGTGTACCCTTTTCGGATCAGGACTTGCGACTGTCTCACGAGTTTCGAGACGATTTGGTGGTAGTGTTTGCAATATTTTAGCCCATAAATCTGAGAACTAACTGTAACGACGTTCCTCTTTACAGTTACTTTTAAAAAAATAGTAACCCTGTTACAGTGACAAGTTATTTTCACAAAGCAGTAACGAGTTACAGTTACAAGTTACTGAAAAATGTAACAAGTTGTCAGTAACGTTTTTCTAGTAACTAGTTACTGCCCAAGACTGGCCAGGTCCCATAAAATACGTTCTAGATACCACATCTGGCTGTTTGACGCACATTTGTAATCTGTGTTTGCAGCTTCGCGTGTCTCCATAAGTGATGCAGATTGCTAAGATTAATATTTTGCACAAAAAGGGCGCCAAAAACGACACGGGGAATTATATTCCTATTTAAATTTTACCTGTATTTCTGAAAGGGTTCGACTAACTTAAGCTTTCGCGTATGGTAAAGTTCTCTGATAAACATTGTATCATCACTTTTTCACAGTTTTGTTTCCGGGAAGGCCGATCTGCAGAGCTTGCTTTATTAGAACAAAAGAATATATTTTGCAAAATTCTGAGGACAGAAAGAAAAAGTACTCTCGTTATTTTGTTTATTTGAGTAAATCGTTCGACCATCTAAATCGCAAGCTATCAATTAAAAACTAGAAACTTACGATTTTCGTGGACAGGCATCAACTCTTATTTCATCTATTCTTATGCACATCGCAAGAAATACGTCTTTATGAACGGCGCAGTTCTTCTAATATTAAACCAATTGTATATGGCATACACAAAGGAGGTATTTAGGCTCTTTTCTTTGAGAGAGAGAGAGGTATGTTTATTTACAGGAAAGCAAAGAGGTCAACATGCTTGTGAGTGCTGGTTTGCTACTTTGCGTGAAAAGGAAGAGAGCAGAGAGACAGCAGACAGAATAGGAAAGTAAAGAAAGAGTGAGATCACATATCCACTCGTATCCCCCCTCCCCCACACACATCCCACACACATACTAAAACACATATATACGCACTCAAAGATTGGCGAAAAATAAATAGCCACACGTAAATTAAAAAGAGTGATGTCAGTTCACAGCTCTTGGTCCAGGCGGGTGTCCTTTAAGAACCGGAGTAAAGCGTTGGTTGCTTTGGATTCTTTCGCTACTGAAGTCCAGGGTCCTAATATATGGCCGAGCTCCATGTCCTGATCATGTATCTTCAAGGATTGTTTTAGTATTTTCCTTTGGGAACTATATAGTGAACAATGGCAGAGTACATGTTTAATGTCGTGTGTTGTTGAGCATGCTGTACCATGCGGTGAACATTGTGAACTTGAATAAGAATATCAAAAATGTAATTTAGGATGATACCAGCCTATTTGTGTTTTTCGTTAACTGCTGTCAGAAATTAGGGAATAGTGCAAGTCGAGCTCTAAAACACTTAGATAACTAGGGGGCCTTAATGCCTTGAAGATTGATGATAGCAAAACTAAGACGATTTTACTTCGGCCCAAAACAATAATAATAATTTTACTAGCGACATTTTATTAAATACCACAGAAATTGAGGTTTTGTCTAGTTTTAAAACGCTCGGCATTATAGTCAGAGAACAAATGATATGGGATGATCACGTAAGTTATATTATGGTAAAGTTTCGCGAGTCGTTGGCTTGCTGTACCGTCACCGCCATATTTTGCCAATGAGGGTCAAAATATTAGTGTATAATTCATTTTTTTCTCTCCATTGTGAACTATGGTAATTTATTTTTGGGCAATACAACCAATACCAACCTACATAAAGTACTTAAGTTACAGAAACCAATGCTAAGGAGCATCAATGATGCTTTCATATAACCACCCCAATCAAGCTCTCTTTAAAAATTTAAATTGAATGCACGTTTATAGCCTATATAAATATCGTTTATGCGTATCATATAAATCAGAAATGCAAAATAATTTTCGTATTCTTATTGAATTTGATTCCCTCGCACCAGAGGCACAAATATGCCCCATTAAAGGTGCACAGACTTTGGAACAACCTTACATAAAAACGACATATGCCGAGAAGATGCTACACTTCCAACCTTGCTTAATTTCCTGATCACTACAAATATCGATATTTTTGTTTCGTCAGTGAAAGGTCTTCGAGCTTTTTCTCTCGAGTGTATAGTTTCAAAGTTATGATAAGTTACAACCTTGATTAAATTATTTAAATGATTTAAACATGTGCAATATCGATTTTGATTTTTCTTTTAGGGATGATTTGTGTGTATATTTGCCAAATGTAATGTTCCGCAGTGATTTGTTTGTAGCTCCTGTTTTTAATTTGTTAGCTGTTAGTGTTAGCTTTTTTTGTGGGTGTGCGTGCTTGCGCGCGTGCGTGCGTGCGTGCGCGTGCGCGTGTTTTTGTGCGGGTGGCTGCCGTTGATGCCACTGTCGGAAAGGGGGCGGGGGCGAGGACCCTTCAAGTTGCATGAAACAGCTTGATTCCTCGTTCTCCCTCCATCATATTCCGACGAAAAATAAACAGAGATTACTATTATTATCAGATGAGCACGCTCTGTGCGCAGGAAGCGATCGAGGTTGTTATCATTGTCCTGTCAGCTCATCGGTGAACGCAAACGCACCGACATCAACGTTATTAGATTATACATAATGGAATAAAACAGCGCAAAAGATACAAAAAGGAAGTGACAAACCGGACAGGACAGAGTGCTGACTCTCAACTAAAGCTTCTTTAGTAAAAAAAAAAAAAAAGGGAAAGAAAACACACGTTACTCCTCGCAATCCCAGGCGCACCTTTCACCCATGGTAGCTGACTACGGCACGCGCTGGATCCTCATAGTCAACTTCAGGAATTCCAGCTAGCTCCCTGTCAGACAACGCCACTGACGCTGCTCTGACGACAACGACTCGCGGCAACTTTACCATGATATGTTAATAAAATAATGCAAATTTTTATTATTTTAAGATTTGTTTTGTGCCGTTTTGCATGCGCCTGCGCGCGCGAGCAGAAAGAAGAACCATTCCTGGCAGCAGTACCGTCGGAAGTCTTTGGGAGGTAGAAAAAAACGTCGCAGCTTCGACTTTTGTCAAGGTCACCTGCAGTACGTATTAAACGGTTAGACGTAACGAAAATTCTATATATAAAGCAATCACCAACAAAGACACTGACTTTTGTTAATGAAGAGGGCAGGTCATTGCTATAAATTAGAAATAAAAGAGGCCCAAAAACGCTTCTCTGCGGAACACCGTACGACACTGAACATTGGAACTCGCCTGTGATCATGTGCTTAAGGCGCTGCAAGATGGCTTCGATGAAACAAAAATAAAAATGACTAGCATTTCCCTTGCACTGCTCAATATTCTTCCCCTCCTCCGTTCTAGGCGGAGGGAGTTAACGTTTGAGAAAGATAACTGACAAATTTGCCTTTTTACATTACCTCTTATGCGCGAAAGAAGCATAATTAACTTGACAAAATTTCAACGGCTGTTGAGTGATGACGATGAGAAGTGCGTCCCGAACAGGGCGAGCGATCAGTCGTGTCGTTCAAGTGCCTCACACCCCGCCACCGGCGGTGTTTCTGCTGACGAATGTTTAAAAAATGATTGTGAAAAGCAAGCAGGAGGAAACTTTTCTGTCATCCTGAGCGAGCGTCCGACGATAACAGCTAAGCAGCGGGTTCTGCATGTCAACAGACAAGGAAAAGCTTACCGGTGACAAGGGCCAATACGGAAACGTGCTTCCCTTGACATCGTGCACTCGCGCTTCGTATACCCCGCAAGTTTGCGAACCTTGGGCTGACTTCCACCTTTATTCGCTCATCGTCAAAGCGAGGCGGTTCTTAGCATTTGTCTGTGTTTGCAGCGAGCTGGGCGCGGGACCTTCCGCAGGCAGCTGTGCAAAAGTTGTCTGTTTCATCTAAGAACAACGAGCCCTGCTAGACACGAGCATGGAAACCATCCACGTTGTATCGGGCGCGTTACGAGATCTGCTTTCCATGCGGGACCCCCGGACAAAAGATTGGGAAACACTGAAGAACCCGAGCTACGTCATTCTGCTGATTGGCAGCTACCTCTACATGGCCAAGATCTGGGGACCGGAGTTCATGAAGAACAGGAAGCCGTACGACATGAGGACAGTCATCAGAGCCTACAACGTGTTCCAGGTGACGGCCAACGCGTACTGCCTGTACCGAATCACGTACCATACGTTCTGGATGGTCGGTTACAGTCCCATCTGCCAGGGCGTGTCCTATGGCACGGATGACAATTCGATGGCACTCCTGGACGTGTTCTTCTTCTACTTCCTGGTCAGGATCGCAGACTTTCTGGATACCGTGTTCTTTGTCCTCCACAAGAAGTTTTCTTCGCACGTTACGGTGCTGCACGTCACGCATCACACGCTCGTCGTCATCAACGGATGGGTTTTCCTCCAGTTCGGATCCGACGGGCAACCGGTGTTCGGCCTGTGCTTGAACCAGTTCGTGCACATCATCATGTACTCTTACTACTTCATGGCCTCGTTAGGGCCCTCGGTCCGGCAGTATTTGTGGTGGAAAAAATACCTGACGGCGGTACAGATCACACAGTTCGTGATCATGATTAGTCACGGCATGATCCCTTTGTTTGTGGACTGCGGATATCCGCCCGTGCTTCTTTGCATAGCTGTGCCGCAGGTGGCCTTTGTGCTTGTGCTTTTTATCAACTTCTACATAAAGGCTTACGTAAAGCGATCGCCGTGTGGTCGCGCCAAGGAGTGCTCGAAGGAGCCTAACTGTCGTCAGCTTACGATGAATGGCGTGCGGAACAGCTTACTTGTTGAAAAGAAACAAATTTAGCATAAGGTCTTTGTGGTTTTGATAGAGACTGCTTGCAACATCACTGTTGTGTACACGCGGTGCATCTGTGTGAACAAACGAACGTACGTTAGCGTAGAGCGTTTCCTGAACACTGCGTCCGCGTTATTGCTTCTTTTTAATCGCGCGTTTTTCCGCAACGTGCTTAAATAAAAAAAAAAGAGAAAAAAGAAAAAGACATTACGTCGTAGACGCAGACGGACGGTGTCTGATTGTGAAATGACTTGTTTTATTGTTTTACCCGAAGCTCGAATTGATCTGTGACGATTATCATGAACGGTAATAAATGACACACGCAAACGGCTTTACCGTTGTACTCGTTTATTATACCCCGTCTTTTCCTCGTTCTATGCGTATAGCGTACAATCATGGACAGCTGAATTAGTTGAAACGACCCTGCGGCGACCGAGAGGTATATACGAGTGACCCCGCCACGAGACGAGAGGTTCAAACGTATAGTACTCCGTTTCGCCCTTAGTCCGAGCCCAGCCGGCGCTGCGATTCAGTGACGGCCAGAGCCGTTTATCGAGAGAGTTTGGCCATACATTGGTTTGAATAGGCGAGCATCTCGGGGCCAACCACAGGCCGCGAAACAGCCCCTAGCAGTGGTCGTGAGCTCTAAATTTGTGACACGACTAATTCAAGCCGTTTTAGCGTCGCTAGAGTTAAAAGGTGTAACTCTCAGTGACTGAAAACTTTGTGCGTGCGAGGTTTTCGTCACGCCAATATTCAAGTGTAGAATAAACGAACGTGCGCTCCAAACCAGGGCCAACTTGCTAGAAACAGCGTCTCAGCTGAGACGGTGAAAGAAAGCACTGCCAAGCCAGCGCACGAGCCGAGCGGGACACCGCGTCTCCAGGACGCTGTTCTAACAAGCCAACATGAGCAGTGCAGAGAAAGGCATGGGCACGAGCGCGTGGCTTTGGAAAGTGGCTCTATGCGCACGAGTTCACTTACAAACAAAAGCGTTTTGCTGAGCTAGGTTCACGCGCCTGTACCTTTGTCTTCACTGCCGACATTTGTGAGATGGAGCAGAGAGGCCGAGATTGAACGCTTCTATTTCACGCTTTAAATGTCGTTTGCAATATTCTGACGTCCCGGTCTCCTGATTGGTCAACGCCGTGTCACAAATCTAGTTTACGCTCTAAGCGTGGGGGGAATATTCGGCGCTGGCGGCGGCCTTTGCTCCGCCTGTTGGCCAAACTCTCCCAATACACGGCTCTGGTGACGGCGATCAAGAAGCGCTGAAAGTGCACCGTCACAACGCTATAGTTGTCTCTGTGCGTTTACTATATGACCTGCTCAACTAATCACGTGCAGTGATAGCGTCGTGATCCTGTTCTGTGCGTGACTAGTTTAGCCGGTTATGCATACAAAAACGATGACCGCCGTGACCATGCACTTTTGGTGCTGCTTATGATTCTCTCCGCCGAATCGTGTAGCGTCCGCCGTCGTCTGCGCCATGACTTAGTGTGGAGCGGAGTAAAGCGCGAGAGTCAACACCACCTAGAAGAATCCAAGGTCTGCAAACGACTTCGTTTCCTTTACGAAACATGATCACGGTCGATTCGCAGACTCGGCAATTTTTGGAACCCGAGCCCGAAGCCGAGCGTCCTCGGACGCGTTAATTGGACACGAGGCCCAGCCGAACGCTGATGCGGCACTCGCGTCCAATCAGCGTCTTCGCTCGATCTCACTGTGATGACGTCAAAATTCTGGTGCACAGGTTTGGACTATCCTATACACACCAACGCAATGTTTTCTCTGAAGCCCGCTTTGCCCAAACCAGGTGTGGGCACTGTACGTGCGCACAAACCAAATTTGGGAGAAGTGTCTTTCGCGTTTTTTTTTGTTTTTTTTTGCGGTTAGAGACGCCGTCGGCTCCGCTCCATGGGAGAGTTAATGTTTTCCCATTCAAAAGTTTTGGTGCGATGAATTTACTTTTCTTTCGTCAATCATTTGGTATAGTGCAGTGGGCAATCGTTGCAGGTGATACCATAGCTTTGCTGGCCAACCCCCTTCACAGGGTGGATTGGCGCATCGACACATTTTTTTTCAACATGCGTGTTTGGCTCATCAGAACGTAAGAAAGAGCATGTCATTCCAAGAAAGAACGCGCAAGGAAATTCACGATCACGATGCAGCCTAGCACAACATGCCGTCATTGGCTGAAGTGGGGGGGGGGGGGGGGGGGGACAAAAACACGTGCGTGGATTTGGCGGTGAACAAACAGCCTATTCAGCATCGTACAAATATTAGCGCGAAAGACAAAGGACGAGGGAGGACAGGACAAGCGCTACTATTTTTATGATGTTCAACCTTTGTCTTTCGCGCTACTATTTTTGTGATGTTCAACCAACTAGGCCACCAACTTATTCAGCCTTTTGAAAATCACGTACGGACGTGATATCGACCAGCACTCTCTGACATCACGCCGCAGCAGCGTGACATCAAAGGGTTGAGTTGGTCTATCCGCCTCGAGATTCGATTGGCACACCTCATAGGGTGAAAAGCCTAGAACTACGCTTTGTTTTACACTTACTTGAAGCAAAAGTCTCTTGTTTTCTCTTGTTCTTGTTTCATGATGTTTTTTTTGGTTTGTTTCTATTTTCTTGTTTTTATTGTGACGCATTGCTTATGTTTAGGGTTCGGAGTTTTCGGTTTAAACCGATAAAAACCGATAAAAGTATACCAAATCCATTTTCGGAAATTTGGTTTTAACCGAAAAAGGTCAGTTTTTAGGTTCGGCATTTTCAATTGAAACCGATAAAAACCGATAAAAGTACGTCGAATCTATTTTCTAAAATTCGGTTTCAACCGGTAAAGGTGACTTTTACCTTCCAGTCGTACCGCAAAGCCGTGGCGAAAAAGTGGAACAGTGTAATCGACACGTGTCCGAATGTATGGGATACACGGATGCCATCACGACGAAATGCCCCATGACTTCGCCATGTACGAGCGCGTTTTCAAACTCGTTGTAAGGAAGACTGACTTGATGCAAGCTCTGCATGTTGTGTTGTGCTTCAAAACGACACACCATGTCTCTTTTGGCGGTCAGAATTGGTTGATTGGCCGATTTTGGCTCAGGCAGCGCTTCATCTCCTCAGCCTGCCAGTGTCCAGTGTTAGCGTTGAGAAGCCATTCTCGAAACTCAGGCTTATATTAACAGGAAAGAAAGAGTGCGGATAAACGAGGAGAACCTTGGAAAGTGCATGTGCGTTTACTATAATAAGATCACTTAATCCTGATGTACCCAAGTGAAGTTGCATGTTTTTTGGGCATGGCTTTATATCTGACTTGTTTGTACTTCTGTGTTTTTCTTGATTGTTTTACAGTTGCACACATTTGCCAAATAAAGTGTCTTTTTTTTATTTTCAATGTATCTGTGCCGTTATTTTTTTAATGATCACAAATATCAGAGCTACAAGAAACATCTGATCCGGTGTCCGTTGGTGTTTATTTTACATTCACCGAAAAAAGCCGATAAACTCTTGTGGGCATAAATATACGCCGAAGAAAACTGAAAATCGAATTTGAAAATAAACACAGAAAATGTACGCCGAAATTTGAAAAAAAAAATAGAAACCGAAAACGCGAAACTCTACTTATGTTCATATGTTTATATGGATCATATTGATCGGAATGGTTTACTAATGCCTATGTTTCTTTCAATCTTGTTGCTAAATTTTTGTATGCTGTTTCTGTTGACTGCTACGGGGGAGGGGGGAAGGGGGGGGGAGGGGGGGAGGGGGGGGAGGGGGGGGAGGGGGCTGGCGGCCTCGTCAGAGGGCTTTCTTGCCTTCTTTTGCTGCAGCCCCCAAGACATATGTATGACACATGTATGTCTGAAATCAGCTATTCTATTCCATTCTATTCTATTCTAAAACGAATGAAACACGGGCGCGAGGCGAATACTCAAATAGAAGCACGACGCATGATACAACATACCATAACTGCACTAAAATCTGCTCTCGACTTGTGCCCATTGTCTGAAGGAACTAATCTAACCCGTCTTGTCATCTTCCACCAAACTAGTATTTTCCTCCTCCGCTTTTCGTTACCTTTACTGCCAACCACTAACAGATATTTCGTGCGCCTTGACCATCATCTAAATATTAAGCCGCTATTCTTGAGTACTAATACATTTAAGAACTCCCCACTGGCTCTTGCCATTGATAACTGGAGCAACCGTCCTCAATACCCCAAAGTGTTACTTTGTCTCGCTTGTGATTGTGCGTCCGTTGATTGGTAATCCGCTACTCTTGTCCGGTGACATTGAAACAAATCCTGGTCCCGCGCCTACCAAGGCTGAATCGGAAGCGCAGGTGAAACAACTTGGTAGTATGTACGAGCTAATGCAGAAACTCGATGCTAACGTAACCGGCCTTGCGGCGGGACAAGCAGTCCTAAAAGCCGATGTCGAGGCGATACTTGGCTAACAGGCTCAACTTGAGACTTCGGTGGAGGCGCTAAATGAAAAACTTGTTTCATTCGAAAAAGAAATCTTGTCTATCACGCAGGCCAAAGCAGATATCTGTAATCTGCAACATTCCGTCGCTGTGCAGTCCACTGCAACTGAAGTTATGCTATCTCGATTTGGTGATTTTGAAAACCGCTCGCGTCGGTATGAGAAACTTGGTGTCACTCTTGATAGCTCTGAGGTCGAACGTGCAGATAGATTGGGAACCCCATCTCGGGAAAATAACAGGCCTATTATTGTAAGCTTTTCTTCATACAAAAAAAAAGAAAAAAGAAACAGTTACTCTTGTGTGGACCGAAGCTGCGCTGCCTCCCTTTTACTATGTCTGAAGATTCCTCGAAGAAAGTTCGCGTTGCGCGTCAGAGACTTCTTGCATTCGCCAAGTCACTGGGAAGTTTGCATAAGCTGCGTTTTGATAAACTACATATGGGTTCAAATGTCTTCCTTTACGACTCCGTTTCCGATTCTGTGGTTAGTGCTTCCGCATAGGCACACGCTGGGAGTGGGAACAAACGCGTTGTTTCCTCCAACTCTAACTCACTTATCGGTGTTTTATACTTAAATGCGCGCAGTTTAATATCAAAGCGTGACGAATTGTGTTCTCGTATTTCAACCTTTCATGCTAAGATAGTACTGATCACTGAGACCTGGCTTCATCCTGATATAAACGAGAATGAAATACTGCCGAATCATTCAACTTTACATTTTATCGACGCGATCGGAAGGATTGTCGTGGTGGTGGCGTTTTAATATGCATTGATAAAAGTATCCTAAGCACACTTCTTTTCGTTTCCATGTCAATTAGGGCCATCTGGGTC